GTGGCTCAGTCAGTTAAGTGACCGACTCTTGATTTCAGCTCAGGGCACGATCTCACGGTTCATGGGATCGAGCCCCACCTCAGGCTCTGCGCTGACAGTGTGGAGCCTGCTTGGGATTCTCTCTCTCCCTCTCTCTCTGCCCCTCCCCCGCTCATGCACACACACGTGCTCTCTCTCTCTCTCAAAATAAATAAATATACCTTAAGAAAATAATGAAGGGCAGAAAATAATTTAGGAACATTTCTCAGAACTAAGGGGCACGTCTCTTCAGAGTAAAAGGACTGCCAAGTGGCCAGCGCAAGAGGTGAAAGAGACCCAAAGCAAGACTTCATCACCTAGTTTCAGAGCACCGGGAACACAGACGGGATCCTACGAGGTTCTAGAAAGAGTAAAACGGATTTCATCCAAGCAGCAAGAACGAGAATGCTACCAAAACTTCAATGGCAACACCGGAAACTAGAAGAAAAGGTGGCAAAGCCTTCCAAATTCTGAAGAAAAACTGAAGTTGAACTAAAGTTGGAATCCAGCTCCAAAGTAACCATCTAGGCATTGAGGACAGGCTCTGACGGGTTTAGACATGGGACGATCTCTCTGCACCCTCTCAAAGGACGCCCCGGAGGATGCGCTACGTCAAACGACGCACTGAGTCAAATGAGGACGACAAGGGGGATCCAGGGGCCGGGGAATCAGACTTAAGGAGGACACAGAGGAAGTCCTGGGAGTGGCGGCAGAGGGGAGTCCAAGGTCAGAGCTGCGCATCAGGCCTGGAAGCCACGCTGTCCATGGCGGGAAGACAGTTAAATGATAGGAAGCATGGCGGGAAGACAGTTAAATACCCAGAGCGCAGTTTAAGGTTTAAATTAGTGTCATGTACATAGAAAGCTGAGTACCAAGTATTAACTCAAGGGAAAAGATGAAGAAGGGCAGGAAAGGAAATTAATCAAGGCCCACAGAGAGTAGTGTTTTCCTAGTTGTGAAATACAAAGACTACGGATCTAACCACGGGCATCTGATGTCTGGGTGTGGGAAATGGTGGCGGGGAGCTGACAGGGTGGCAGGGCGGAAACAGCCAAATCCACATCTTCCATGGTACAGAAATGAGATTATTCCCAAGTTGAAAAGCCAAGCTTAGCAAAGCAGGTAGGTTACTTCCATTTATGGAGGCGAATATTAAAAGACTCTGTTAAAAGAGTCGAAAATTCCTGGAGGTCAGAAAATAAGGGACAATTATCAGGGAGCTACCATTCTTCGTCACGAGCCTTGTAGAATTATTTGGCTCTTTAGACTCCACGTGTGTTGGGGCACCTGGCTGGTTTAGTCAGTGGAGCGTGCAACTCTTGATGTTGGGGTTGTGAGTTTGAGCCCCATGTTGGGTGTAGAGATTACTTAAAAATAAAATCTAAAAGAGATAAAAATAAGGGCACCTGGGTGGCTCAGTTGGGTGAGCGTCCGACTCCTCATTTCAGCTCAGGTCATGATCTCACAGTTAGTGGGATGGGGCCCCAAGCTGGGCTCTGCTCTGACAGCATGGAGCCTGCTTGGGATTCTCTCTCTTCCTCTCTCTCTCTGCCCCTTCTCCGCTTCTGTGTGTGCTCTCTCTCTCTCTCTCTCTCTCTCTCTCTCTCTCTCAAAATAAACAAAAATTTAAAAAAGGTAAAAATAAAAAAAACAAACTGTATGTACAATCTGAATAAAAATAATAACTAAATTCAAATTGAAAAAGGATAAACTGAAAGATAAGAAATTAAGATCGAGGTGCATCATAAACAAAGAGATTAAAAATACAGAAAAAAAAGGGGCGCCCGGGTGGCTCAGTCGGTTGAGCGTCTGACTTTGGCTCGGGTCATGATCTCGCAGCTCGTGAGTTCGAGCCCCGTGTCGGGCTCTGTGCTGACAGCTCGGAGCCTGAAGCCTGCTTCGGATTCTGTGCCTCCCTCTCTCTCTGCCCCAACCCACTCGCATTCTGTCTCTGTCTCTCTCAAAAATAAATAAACATTAAAAAAATTTTTTTTAATACAGAAAAAAGGTTATGAGGGACGGTGGATAGTTAGGCCAGAAAATGGCAGATTAGCATTACAGGATGAAGAGACTGTGTGCAGTGAGGACACATGTAAGTGTTCCAGAACTGTCAAAAGTTGTGAATCCACTGATTTCAGAACGTTAGCGAACCCCCCAAAAGATATACACAAAGAAAAAACAAAGACGAAAGGGAAATCTTAAAAGCCCCAGAGAGGAAAGACAGGTTACCTAGATTGACAGTGTACTTTTGTTAGAAATCATGGAAAACAGTAGAACGATATCTTCAAAGCTCTGAGAGGAAAACTGACAATCTAGAATTTTATACCCAAACTATGTTTACTCACCAAGGTCCAGACCAGGCACATTTCATCTCTTGTCCTACATACTTTCCTGGGTGGTTTGATCGATTAACTCTTGCCCCTCTGCTTTTTTTAACTTTAAGTTGAAGATTTTTAAATCTCTGTCCCCAAACCTGCTCTGTCTCCTACCCTAAAATCCTTGTTTTCTTCTTCTGCCATCAGCATGAAAGGATTATCTAAGTCTGCTGCTTGTTCTTCCTCGTCTCCCATTCACCCTTTACCCTACTGCCCTCAGATCTTCTTCTCTGCCCCACTGGCTCTCAGAGGCAATCAATGACCTCCTCACTGGAGATGCAAAGACCCCTTCGCTGCAAGTTTGTTTCAGGGGCTGTAACACTCTTATGTTCCGGAACCGCATTTCCAACTTCCTTTCAGACGTTTCTACCTCCATCTCAGTGTCCAGCCTTAACTTGCAATCTTCTCCCACCACTTCCTGCTCAAGCCGTGCTCCCTCTCTGCATCCGTGGTGCCGTCTACCGCTAAAATAATC